TTTCTTTTGCAATTGGACGGCATTGGGCTCAAGTTCTTTCATTTCTTTTGCAACTGGACGGCATTGGGCTCAAGTTCATTCATTTCTTTTCGCAATTGGACAACATTGTACTTTCTGATGATTGTGGACTTCAAAATTGGCCAGGATCGTAACAAAAGGCGAAAAAAACTCGCGCGGGCAAAAGAAACCACGCACCAATTCAAAATGAGCGATTGAGGTCCGTTGGGCATTTTCTTTATTTTTTTGTTTTCCCCTCTGACACCACGGCCGACTCCTGTAAATATGACACCCGGGGCCTGGACCCACTTAGCAAAGTATTCTACGATGTGTGACAGCATTTTCGTATTTTTGTATAGTTTTTAAGTGGTTTAAAAATGAATAAAAAAAATTGCTGGGGCTGCATACCCTGTCTACAGGCCTGGCTCCACCACCATTACTGCACATGCTTTTGGAAACTTTTTTTTTTTTTTTTTTTTTTTTTTTCGTTTGGAACTTCGGATGCTTTCAGGAGGCTCATTCGTACGAGTCAAAAAATATGAATGAACTGCGCTGAAGAAGAGACCAAATGCATATGCAGTATTATCCTCACCTTGCCAGGCCCTACCTCCGCACTGCAATAAAACCGCCATGTCTGACGGAACGATAGTAACTGCCCAACGCGCAAAGTCTCGAAAATGTCCCCCCCCTCCAAAAGTCTGGAAATCGAGACCAACCTCGATGTTTATTATCAAAAAAAAAATCCAGTCCCAGCCAGTTCATTGGTCGGTGCTTTCTCATGGGCACCACTGTATACTGCATCAGGCGGCCCCGTCGATGCAAAGTGAGATGTGCGGTTCGCGTCTGTCACCTCCAGCCGCACGTGATTGAAAATGTCAACCACGAAGTAGAATACCTCGCTAGTGGGTCCAGGCCCCCGGTCTGACACCACGGCAGTCGGTATTTCCATCGCCTTTTCGAACGCGGTGCGGTTTTCTTTGCCGGCGCGTGTTTTCTTCCTCCCATTCGATACTCAAAGGTGACATGAACGTACTTACCCCCCCAAAAAAAACACTACCCGGCATTACTTTGGTCCAAAAAGAAAAAAGAAAAAAAAAACGGTACTAAAATTTTTTTTCATAATTTATGCTGCCCCAAGCAGTCAGTTTACCTCAGTGTAAGCTGGTACCTGGATGCTGGTGCTGGTGCATCCAGTGCAATTTTTTTCCTTTCTCTTGCCCTAGTAATGTTTCACGTTTGTCCTTCCACCTGCTAGCACAGGTCGTCTCAGAATAGCTACAGGATATCACCGCACTCTGGATTCCGTGAAGAAGAGCTTCATCATTTCCGCTCTGTCCTTTTTGCTTACCTTCTTCCCCTGAATAGAACGAAATGGTCATTTTTGGCGCATCTGAACTGAAAGGTTAGCCAAATACGACTATAATGACCAGACGTTCTATTCCGGGGAAGACCGTAGTCATGTTTGTGACTATCCTGTGTAGCGAAGCCCGACATAGTGAGAGTCTTAAATCTTTGAGGACAGAAGGTTTTGCAGTGTATGATTGTGCACAAGCATGCAGAGAACCAACCCCTGACAGTCAACCCTTGAGCCATGTACCTCCCAATCGAGTTGGCCACCACTAGAAAGAGGGCTTGAATCAGCACAGTGCACCCTTGGGCCATCTACCTCCCAACTGGGTTGGGCTTGATGCTCCCACCTTGTGGGTAAGAGGGCAGCCCTCTCTGCTTTATAGTCTTGTACTAAACATCGAACAAAGCACACGCACGTTTTCTTTTCTCCGAGATTCTAATCTCGTGCAGGACTCAGAAGTTCAGAAAGCCTGCTACTTAATAAGAATTTCAAAAAAAGAGAGAACTGCGCCTGTGACGGCTGCACAGTTTTGAATTTGCAGGAATAACAGTCCACTGCAAGCTTGGGCGATGACCAGTTCGAAACTGCAAGAAAAACAGTAAGGTGGGAGCACGACGGCCTACAGGTTCAGTAATTCGCAAAAACGGGAGGTGGCAGTCGTGTTTTTTTTTGTTGTTTTTTCTTTTGCGCCTTTG